TATATATATATATATATATATATATATATATATATATATATATATATGCATCTGTGTGCGTGTATGTGTGTGTGTGTGTGTGTGTGTGTGTGTGTGTATGTGTGTATGTGTGTGTGAAAGTATATACTACCGATTTGTTGCTGTTATCGTTATTGTTGTTATAATTGTTTTGCTGTTTTTGTGTTTGTTTTTGTTTTTGTTGTATGATGACGACGATGACAAAGTTGATAAGTTTTGTGTGTTATTCGTTGGCATTTTGTTATTGAAAAAAGATTCCATTTCAATTCAGTTACTTATACGCCTTTGGAATCTTCACACATACGAGTGAATCTGCTGCGGTCCTCACACAACAACCGAGTGTGACTGTGAAAACGTTACAAAGATATATAAAAATAAAAATTAATTTAAAAGCAAAAAAAATAACACCAAATTCTCAACATATAAAATATTATACGTGCGTGAGAAATTATTATATGGTATATAAAAAAGTATTTAAATTAAATTAAAAAAAAAAAAAAAATTTTTTTATTTCATAATAATAATTTTTTTTTTTTTTTTTTTTAAATATCATAAAAATTTAAATAAAAAGATAATTTTATTGAGAATGTAATCAATTTTGAATGGAAAAGTTGAAAATATATTCGTTGGTTTGTTATACTAAGAGCAGAAACAAATAAACAAACGAAAGCAAAAAAGTTATATAACACAATTTGAAATATACTTTAAAGGGAATAATTAGTCAGAAATATACGAGAGGTTTTGCAAAAAAAAAAAAAAAAGACAATAACAATAAAAGCAGCAACACAGCAACATCAACAACAACATACAAAATATTAGATATATTAGTTTCGTTTCTTATTTTATTTATTTATTTATTTTTTTTGGAACAATATTTTGCATTTCTATTTAATATTTATTTATTATTTAATAGAAAACATAATGACGTAATGAAAGTGAAAAGCAAAATGAAAATGAAAAATAATAAATAAATGGAGAATAATTATTCTAACTAAAGACAGTTAACAGTTTAACATTACGAAAAAAGAAAAAGAAAAAAAAAAAACAAAAAAAAAGTCTCTTTTTAAAAAACTTATCTTAAACGTTCTTAAAAGTTTTCATGAACTTTAAAGAAATACTTGATTTTTATATGCAATAGGCATTGCTCCTCCTTTTTGAAACGAACGAAATTCAGCATAACGTTTGAATAACATTGAGTGTATAAACAACTTTGACCTTTATGCATGTATTGGGTGCAGTACTCGCAGCTCTATCTATGAACTCCGATAAGTAATGCAGGGACGACCATTATCGTATCCCCCAAGATATGTGTTTTTTTTTTTTTTTTTTTTCATACCATTCGTAATGCCCATCAATAAGCTCTAGAGACGTTTTTAAGTTATTGGGTGGGCAAAAAAAAAAAAAAATTTTAAATAAACGTAAAAAAATAAATAAATAAATAATTCTCTTTATATTATAAATTTAAAGAAAATTACTTTATAAATTGCTATCCAGCTATCCAGACAGCTATTGCTGTCTTCCCACTCAATCGATTCTACTTTTAATCGTTGACTTAATCAAGAATGTCTGTCTGTTTCTCTGCGTATTACTGAGAAATCACAAAGCCTCGAAAGATGAACTTAAAAGTAAATTATAAACGATTTTCTTAACCAGCGCAAGAATGAAAATGTTTTCACTCACTTAACATCTCGTTCGAGCGACTCGAGCTAAAGGCAAGCTAGTTTTGAGCGCTAAGTTACTTTGATTGCATTTTCGATCGAATTTACAAAGTAAAGTAAAGAGTAATAAGTAAGCATTAAAAACGGCAAATATCACTTGATGATCTATTGTTATAGATGCATAGATGTTCCTCCTATGGCTATGGAGATAAACAGCTTTCAAGTCGCCATAAAGAGCGCAAGTTATAATCAGACGACAAATAATTCTGATTAAGGTTATGGTCAAAAAAGGTTAAGCTTTCGAGTGGAAATTTCAAAAGGACACTTAATAACACATAGTCTTACTAAGGCTGGAAACATAAATAATTATTAACTATTTAGCTTCTTATCTCGGTTAAAATTGTAGTTAGTAATGCCATTGATCATAATTTAGTTGAATGTCAATTTTGTACGCTTAATATCCGACGGCTAGCCAGAGATTCGCCAGTCAGGAGTTATATTATGGATTTGTGATGATTGGGAGTTAATCGATTTTCAAATATGTTGCTAGAGCAATGATAGAGACAGTCGTCATTCTCATCAGAGCAGGGAATACATCCCTAGACGTATATCCATTTAGCACTTGGAGACTAATCATATTCGGGACATTGAATGTGTGTTTTCTTACCCCATATGCCATCGAAGATAGTGGGATTAAGCCTTTAAGCCTTTAGTGCGCCGACATAAAACACCTAGAGACAGCTGTCCTATGCATTATTCCATCATAGGTTATACTCGTTCGAAACCGTTCGAATATCATACAACATTTTCTTCGTCTTCTGCTTTAAATTATTGATCAGTGGGCAGCTTAATTATTCACTTTGCCCACTTTTCGGTTCGATATAAATCAACTTTGCCGGGAAAGAGCAAATAAATCAAGCACAGTGTTCGAAACGTCCGTCGCTTAGTTAAACTTTGTTTCGCTAACGGATTTTTGTTTGTTTTCTTTTATCCTATATTTGATCAGCTATTGGCCGGCGATGGTCAGAAAAGATTATAGTTAGAAGACAAGGAAAAATGAGAATAATGTGTGTATAATTGTCGTTTGGCCAGAATGCTGCAATGGATTAATGAAAAAACCTAACCGGATCTTTTAGGAGCCACAAGCAAAAAACAATTTCAAGGTATATTAGATTTATCGAATCGTTTGTAACATCGATACACATAGGCAATAAAAATTCGATGAAATCGGTGTATACTTCAAGGACGATGTTGGCAAATCCAAAGAAGCTATCGCTTACAAACTAATAGATATATTGACCTAAAATTTTGCTGAAATATTAACTAAAAGTCTTCCAATAATTAAACCACCCCTTTGTTTATAAATACGTATGTTTGTGTATACCTATATATATATATATATACATATATATGTTTTTAATATATCAAATCAGTCAGGGGATGTTGCCTATTCGTGCATCACGACGGTGACGACTAGAAAGAAAGAAGTGAAGAAGGAGATAAGAAGTTGTTGATAGCAGCAGATAGTGAGTGACTAGTCAGTGGCCAATCGATCAGAGTTATGCTTTTGCCGACTGAGCTTTCACTATAGCTACGGCCTAAATCAAATCTATCACATTTGAGATTTTAATCCGTGAACAATGACTTGCTAGTCACAATTCTTACCTTACCTATTTGGCTACTGATACAGATATGTAGTAAGCTGAAGCTAATGAATATCCAATTGAATGAATCGAATGAAACCATTAAATATCAAATATTTATCTTAAGGAGTGCATATGAAGTTTATTCAATTTTCAGTAATCACACTGTAATTATATCCGGATTGGAATCGTCTCGTATATAGGATCGTATGTGGGCTAGTTGCAATAGTATCTGATTTGATGAATAGATAGATAGATAGTTATATATGCGATCTGATATGATTTATACAAAATGTTCCATTAACAATATCAGGCTTAACTTCAAGACCTATACGATCTAGAAAGCATATCTTCTTGGGCTTAATAAGCATAATTCACAATAATTAAAATTCTAAAAAAAAAGGAAAAAAAAAAAAAAAAACAATGAAATCTTATAAAAAGTTTAAAATATCTTCGCCGATAACTGACAAATAGTGACAAATGCTAACATCAAGCAGATGCACATAAGATTTTTCCATCAAGACGATCCCCGCAACAAGTAAGAAAATTACATTTCATTTAAATCATAACTTTGATACTCATCATCTACTGCTAATCATTACGTGAAAATTGTTGCAATTGTTGCTTTTTTTTTATCCATATATTACTCTAACATAATTTTGTTAATGTGAACTTTAAATAGTAGGACAATTAGATGAATAGGCGAACGTATCAACGAAATGATGGATAGAAGAGTGAACGCTTGGACAGATTAACAGATTAACGGATAGAAAGCATGATGACGAACGAGACAATGAAGCAAAGGAATGAACGGCAAATTAAACGCATACCCGATCGAACAGGGTATTGTAATGATGGATCAGTAGCCACGTAAAAGACAAATGGGAAAAGCAAACGAATATATGGATGGATGAGGGGATATAAAAAAGGAACGGAAAGGGACGGAAGGGGTCTTTAGGTAAACATGGCCAAAGTAATTTTGAGTTCTCAAAGCTGACCAACGATAGAGTCATGCAAACGGATTATTAATATATTTCTATTCCTATGCAATTAGCGTACGTTACGTACGTTTTTTGTACTTGTAAAGTATTGTAAAAAAAATAAACAACAACAACAACAACAATTAAAACAACGGCAGCAATAACGACAACAATATCAACGAAATATTTTTATTACATTCGTTTATTGCTAATAACAAACGCGTTTCGAGCATTACAAGAACAATATTTTCTCTTCGCACGTAACAGTGCCATGTTCAAAAAAAAAAAAAAAAAGACGAAAAGAAAAGTGAATTTGCAGTTGTTGATAATCTCTCTTAAGGTATTAAAAAGAAAAAAACATTATATAGACAAAGTCAGCCAATGAATCAAATATTAAGATGAAGCAATCACTGAGTACTTTTATCGTTAGAGAGATATTATGCGAGAATTGATTATAAGCAAAAATAGTATCAGACGAGTATCAGTTAAGTGAAAAGTACTGTGCAAAAGCGGTGACATTTACACACACATTACAAAACTGCATAAATATATTAAATGAAAGAAATAAATCAAGCAGAGCACCAACCGTATGGGAGTCATTCGACTAGAAAAACAGAAAATAAATTTCTAATAATAAATGAAAATAACAAAAACAAAAAAAAAAACATGCATAGACACAATCAACTGGCCAACACCTCCCTATAAACGAAACACTTACCTGTGTGCATTTCGTTTACTTTTTTTTTTCTTTCCCAGTTATTATGCGTCTTTGCATTAAAACGCAAAAGAAAACACAAAAAAAAAAAAAAAAAAAAATACTGGAGATTAACTGTTCAGGCGTCATACCAGCACACGCAAACTTTGTTGTTGCGTACGCTCTCGTTACTTTTGAACAAGAAGACAAAAGCAATGAAAATATCCGCAAAAAGAAAATTTGCTTTTAATTTGAGAAAGTGCAGCATTTTCTTATTTTTTTTTTTGCGCGTAACAATAATTAAATAACTATTCTTATGGACATATGATAAAAAAAATGTTACTCTTTAATGAGTCAATCTTTGCATTGAGTTGATATTATGTAATATCATGAATGAAAAAAAACGAAGATAGAACTTTTTGTTTTACTTATAGTCAGTCAGTCAAGTCGGTTATATGATCATTGAAAACATTCTCGAATAAAAGAATTTCTTTAGCCTATTATTCGCTCTCGATTGTTAATCGATTACCAGTTTTACTATTGTTTTGGTTGTTTTTGTTTACTTTCACGGACAGACTTGATTGCTTTTTAAGTTTAAATCGTTTCAAACGAACCTAGAAAAATACACAATATATGCGCACATCTACAAAGAGAGATGCTGGACAAGAAATATATTGTTAATGCATTACGTCAAGTTGTCTTATTCTAAGAAGAGTAATTCCAAGCAAAATACTTTAGCGAATGGGAAACGTGAAGACTCATCCCGTAACACGTGGATGAAACCCAACAAGAGAGAGGAATTTATTTGAATTTTATGCTCCGGTGAAAAGAAAATTAAATAGAAACAGATTGAAATAGCAATGCTGTCCGATCTGTTTCAATTTATGACCAATTATCGGATCGAACAAGTACATAGTTATATAAAGAGGAAAAGAGGTGAAGAAAATCAAGAATCAGAAGCATAAGCGAGCTTATAAGATACAGTTATACGCGAACGATTAGACGTAGGGGGCGAAGAATCCGATAGGCGAACATACGTAAGAAAAGCAATGTGAGAAAATGACTAGACGCGTGCTTGAATACATAAATAAGAACCATTTGATTATTGATGTGTAGATGATAGATGCATTGGCGTTTAGTAATATGAATAAAATAAAAAGAAGAAGAAGAAGTAGAAGTAAATGAAAGGTGAAGGGATCTCTGAATCAACCAACGGATCAACAAGTAAATGAATGGATAAATGGATATGGATGAACATATAAATTGACAGCTCGATGTTCGGCTAGAGAAATGGTTAGTTAGATAACCGGACGGGTAAACATAACCGAGGGATCAACGAGCTTATGTATGCATTGGTCAAATGGACAATTGGGAAGTTGATCAATACAATGTAGAATATCGTCAAGCACTCTTACAATATAAATGGAATAAGAAAATTGTTATACATTTTTTCGGCTTTGATTTATGTAAAACAAAGCGTTGTATGCATATTTAATGCATTGTGCGCATAAATAAGGCGATCGTGAAGGCAAATTCACAAATTGCTTTAACACGTTCGCGGACAGTAAAAATTGCAATGAGATAGAAAAATTTACAATCAATTCATTGTAAATTTTCACACAACTATCACGACTAGATATCGAAAATGTGATTAAAAATATTTTGTAAATTTATCCATAATATATATAATGAACGCCATATCAACGACGATGATAAAGATCTAATTGTTTAACTAATTATTAAAAATATATTAAAGTTATATATTATTATTATTATTATTTTAATTTTAGACTAATGAATTGAATTCTTAGACTAAAAAAAAGACATTGAGCACTAGCAACACTAAAGTTATATAAAATTAAATAAAAGCAAGAACATTATAATAATCGGGCAAGACCGACGATTCATTCAATTGCCTAAACTACACTACATTGTCTAAGACAATTTGTATTTTTATTATTATCGAACGCAAACATTTTATTTTGTTGCTATATAAAGGCATATTATTCATGTGGATATTCATGGGAAAGCGGAACCAAAACGCAACCTAATATAATACAAAAGTTAACCCTTACGTAGGGCAGGATTCAAAAATAGATGTAGACGGTCCAAAGTTGAGTTCATTTTTGTAGGTTCCCTCACCACATATTGAAATTCGGACTTTTTTTTTACCTAGGGTTCGGCCCAAAAATAGGCCGATATGGTCCAATTTTGGCATAGTTAATTTTTTTATATTAAACTACTGTTACGATATAATTTTCATTGTGGGGCATTGAAAGTTATAGCTTTTTGTGGTATAAACTTTAATTTTCGTTATATGGGAGAGGGAGAGAGAGAGAGAGAGAGAGAGAGAGCTAGCTTTCAAAAATTGCTCCAGCCAACGGTCCAACGTTTTCATATCAATTTAGAATGCCGAAATAGTACTACTTAGCCCCTTTTGCCGAGAAATTTGGAAAATTCTAATATTTTTTCATATAACAACAACTTTTCAGTAAAACGCGCCATGTGGGGAGGGATCGAAAAGGTCGACCAATACGCGTCAAAATGTCTCTGTAACAAATTTTATCAATATATGTCGAAAATTGCGATCTATAGCTTGAACATATATTTATATATGGACAGAGATCAGACGGACATATGGATAAACAGGCTTAAATCAATTCAGATTATGACTCTGAATCGATTGGTATAAAAAAATGTGCTTAAGCCTTTACCTACGATCGCAATAACTTAATATACCCTGTACCAGAGGTAGTGTAGGGTATAATAATTAGCTTCAAAATTTGAATGCTACAAGATTCATGTCATTTTGCGTCACAATGTAAATGAAGGCTATAGCATTCACGTCCGCGAACATGTTAATTTCATTATTTATAAATAATTTATAAAATGTACCTTAAGCGTTATTTTACTTGCAAGTCTTTAAAAAGCCTCTATATATGACATGACATTTTATTATATATACATATTATTCTACACATATAGTATAGATACATAATATATAATTTTTAATTTATATATACCTATTATGCCATATATATGCCAATTACCTATATATATATAATAATGGGTTACCTTCGATGAAAAAGAAAAATAAAATCGAAATAATACCGACATTGACAACAATTTTTCATTACACACATGTATGTATGCATGTATAGATAAATGATGTTTGTGTTATTTATTAGTTAAAAAATGCTTTTGTAATACGCTTTCATTTTTGTTCTTGCTTTTTGCATGTTATGTACGAAATTGCTGCTCTTCTTTCTTTAAACAACATTTCTTGCTCTTCTACTTTTCTATGACATTTGCTAATATTTTTTACATACATTTTTTTTTTTTTTTGTTCTTTTTAAATTTCATTTGCGAAAAATTTTCGGCAGTTGTCGGCGTTTGGCTTAAAGTGCGGTAGCAATTCAGTTTTTCTATTTTGTTTCGTGTATTTTGTTGTTGTTGTTGTTTTTTTTTTATTTATTTTTTTTTTAATCTAAAACTCTTCAAATTGACAATCTGTCGTTTTTGATTATACGGTATACAGCAGTGAGATGAGTTATTTTACATATCTAACGTAAGAAAATCTATATAAAAAAAAAAAAAAAAAAAAAAACATATATATGCATAAGGAAAGAATGAAATGAAAGAAAATCCAACACCCGCTCGTTTATTACAAATAAAAATTTCGTTATTGTACGCAACGGTTTCGCGATAGTATTATTATTATTGTCGTTCGTCGCTTCTGCCTGCTATGGTGTTTTTTTTATTTATTTCTCTTCTCATTTCATTTCATTTTATTTTATTAACTTGCTTGGTTTTGTTTTTGTTATTTTAGTTTTGTGACTTTTTCTTCTTTTTTTTTTTTTTCTCGTGCACTTTTACACTTTATCATATCATCCGTACACCTACAAACACAAACGCATATAAATGCATATATACACAATACATATAAATTTTAGTATAGAATAGCAGAACATAAAGCACGGCACACATGAACGTATTGCTCTAATTTGCAAGCAAATTCGAGGTAGTATTCTGCTATCGTCTGTCGTTGTTAACACTTGTCGCCGTCGTTGCCGTCGTCGTGGTCGTGTAGATTATGTTCAAATAGTTTAATGTGTTGTTAAAAACGTAAAATAATAGTGTTGTGTCGAAGCCTAGAAAATTTCTAAATCTCAAGACAATCAGCTGTTCTAAAAGTGGTGTTGTTTAAAGAAGAAGGTGAACCCAAATATAATATATATATATATACTATCAGAGTCCCTTTTCTTTTTGTTTTTTTTTTTTTTTGATTTAAGCGAATACGGCAATTTGGCGTAAGATATATATATATATATATATATATATATATTTTTTTTTTTTTTTTTGATTTTCAGGAATTAGATTATATTCCGTTTTTTTTTTTTTCCTTTTTTCGCTACACTTGAAATCATCGACATCACTCATACGTCTTGAGATCCTCTTTACAATTTCAAGCTATGATTTAATGTATATAGAAACTCAATGAAGGGAAGAGATATAGCGGCAGCGAGAGAGAGAGAGAGAGAGAGAGAGAGAGTGACCAAGTGAGATGAAGGGAGAGAGAGAGGCAGAGAGAGAGAGAGAGATTACATATCTTTTTTCTTAAAAAAAAAAAAAAAGCCAAAAAAATACAAAAATAAATAATAAATAAAAAAAACAAAGAAAACAGTTGATGGATGGATGGATGTGTACATTTTGTGATTTTTTTCAAAATTACGTAAACTACTTTGTTTTTGTTTATTTCAATTCAAACAAATATTTCTAGTGGAAAAGTTTTTTGCAAACATATAAATGACAAAAAAAAAAAGAACGTAAGTGGATGACAATATATTTATTGTTGTTATTATTGCAACAACATTTCAAATATATAATGCGTTTAACAAATTATTTTGCTAGAACAGATTATTAAATTAAGTTTTCTTTCCTTATTTTTTCCTCTTTTTTTTTTTTTTTTTTATTGTGATAACACACGCAAAGTATAAGAACAATTACATAATTTGGAATAACAGATGTACAGGTGTTATTATTGTTATTAATTTTTTTTTTTCTTTTTTTTTATTATAATATTATTGCAAATAATAATTATAGCCATAAAACACTTGAGTTAAAAGGGTAAATGAAATTGAAAATTTATTTACATACAATAAGTGATGTTTTACCGTTGAAAAGTGAATTAAGTTTTTAGTTAAACTAAATAAGTTAACGTATGTGCCGAAGTTGTACTATATATACGGAAAACTAAATCAATATCAAACTAATCATAGTTATCTCAAGAAGTTTGGTATTGAAGAAAAAAAAAAAAAAAAAAGTCAAATAAATGGAAACGGGAATGAAGAGAAATTTCTGAATAAAAATGAAAAAAAAAAAAAAAAAATAAGACAAAAACACATTTAAAGAACAATAAAGAGAGATATTGAAATGATTGCATACCTACACTCTTGTACATATATATATATATATATATATATATATATATATATATATATATAT